GCATCAATAGGAGCATTAGGTACAAGACATGGGAGGTGATTAGTGTCTCTCTGCTTGGCACTAGCTACTAGTTAGGCCCCATATGGAGTACTGCATGCAGTTCAGGGCTCCACATTTTAAAATGGATGTGGAGAAGCAGCCATCAAAGATGATCAAGGATTTGGAAGACAAGTCATAATAGAAGAGGCTGTATGAACTAGGCATGTTCAGCTTTCAGAAAAGAAGCTTAAAAGGGGACATGATAACAGTCTTCAAACACTTAAAGGGCTGCCATAAAGAAGAGGGAAAGCACCTTTTCTCTCTTGCTGCAGAGGGGAGGATGAAGAACAATGGCTTGAAGTTGCAGCAAAGTAAATTTAGATTGGATATCCAGAAAAACTTCTTCACTGTTAGAATAGTGAAACAGTGGAATAAACTGCTAAGGGAAAATGTGGATTCTCCATCACTGAAAGCATTCAAGAAGAGGTTGGACAGCCACTGGTCAGGGGTGATGTAGATGTAGCTCTGCCTTTGCCCTACTATGGATATTTCCCATGCTCCTGAACTTTGTTACTTTCCCCTGCCCCCACCCTTTTCTGCTATCTGTGTCAGGGTGTTTTTAAGCCTTCCCAGAGGCACTGGGTATTAGCTACAGCCAAGGCTGGGGACTTTGACTGGAGCATGCCAATATTCCTGGTAGGAGCAAAGCTGGAGGTTCCTAGTTAGAGTGTCTTGCTCCCCTGCTTGGGGTCAGACCAATCATCATATTTGGGTTCAGGAAGAAATTTTACCCCATGGTCAGGTTGGTATGGATTGTGAGGGGATCTGCCTTCTTCTCTAGTGGGGGGCATAGCCCTCTGCCCAGAACCTCTTCAATGTACATTGACAACATTTTATAGAAGCTAGGCATTGGCTGCCATGGTTCCCCTGCCTTACTTGTGCCAGGTTAGGGTGTTAGGTCTATGTTGTGTCAGGGCTGACGGCAGTCGTATTTAGACTTTAGATTAATGTTTGTATGCGATTATGGTTTTTATGGTATGGTTTGAATAGGCAGGGGGTTGGACTAAGTGACCTCTGGAGGTCCCTTCCAGCCCTACTTCTCTATGATTCTGTCATATTCAAGGAAATATGGTAACAGCAGCTTTTGCCACTTTTGCTAGCCCCTGGCCAATACGTAAGTAAAAAGTAAAGCAGCACCTGCTGTATGAAGGGCTCCTTGGCTTCCAACTGTAGATACTTTCTCCCTGACAGAGGCTCTCAAAGAAAAAACATGGTGCATATTTTATATTGGGGGGGGGAGGGTGTTGTATGCAAGAAAATAGGCTATATGTATTTGGCTGCCATTAGCATTTAAACTATAATATTTACTCGATTCTATGACCGTTTTTCTCCATTTAACATGGGGGGGAATCACTTGTCTTGGAATCAAGTATGAGGGGGGAAGTGAGGAACAGATGGCTGCTACAGCTGGGGCTTGGGCTTCAGCCCCTACCTGGGGTTAGGGCCTTAGCCACAGCTTTTGCCTGCCTCCCACCCCCACTGCCTCTGCACCCTGCCATCTTCTCCTGGCAGCCTCTTCCCACACAGTACCTCCCACACAGCCTATGCTCCCCAACCTGCCCCTCTCCCTCTCCCCCTTGTATTTGCTCTATGCTAGGAGGCTCAATCCACACTGCAGCCTGGGCACACAGCAGAGCACACAGCTCACGTAGCTGCTACAGGGCTGGGTTGGGGTCATGCTCAGTGCTCCCGGCTACAGCATGGATGAAGCCTGCCAGTACAGAGCACAGAGCAAAGGCAAGAACAGGGACAGAGCTTTCACAAAACAAGGGTTAGGTGGTTGTGGAGGGAGCAGGTAAAAGAGGCTGGGGGAGGGAAGGGAAGGAAGTAGAGTCTGAGGAGAGGGAGAAGGGGGAGCAGAGACTGGGGGAAAGTGGGGCCCAAGGCTGCAAGGGTGGTTAGTCAGGGGGCAGAGGTGGTGGGGGGTATGCACAAATGGGGGATAGGCACAAACAGAGGCAAGCTACTTAACCTCCCCACATCACCTGCTCCCCCCACTGCTTGTCTCCCTGCAGCGGTGGGGATGAATTAAAGATAACCCTTCAATAATCAGATTCTACCATATATAAAATTTTCCATGTATAGTATCTATTGGGGGATAATCTTAAATTCAGGGCCATCTTAAATTTGAGTAAGTACAGTAGGTCTTTTATTTCAAGGATAGTGTTGCTGCTGCTTAATTACTGCTATGTTTGAGAAACAGGATTTTATATATTCTCTGTAAATAAGCAGGTTTGCATTAGACACACCTAACTTTATGACCAGTTTCTTTTGCTAACTGTAATAATTATGTGACATCTCAATTTGTTGCTTAACCACTCATGTTGAAAGAGATAACAATAAGCTGAATTCTCAAAGTACTCTCAAAGAGCTAGCAGATGACCTTGGGAGCTAAGAAACTTATCTAAATACTTCAGCCCCCTGGAGCACAGGCTCAGCTAAGGAATGATTGCACAAGGGTCTCCTGTGCATGACATCTGCTTATAAGCCATAAAATCAGTGCAAGTCATCACAACCCCTAGGGTGGTATGACTGACTTGTCTAGAATCAAGACTAAAACAGAAATAAAACACATCTCCCAAGTCTGTAACATATTTTTTACACATGACCAGGTTTCCCCACATTAATAATGTTGTTATACATGTCAGATTCTACATGGAAGTGCCAGCTTATTCCCAAGTATCATGCCCTTATTCCGGGCTGACTAATAGTGCAATATGTCAGTGTGAAAAATTAAGTTCCCAAAAGTCCAGGTTTTCAAGTGAAATTTGCATAGCATCTTAAAATCCTCAAATATACTTCTGAGCAACAATATTGGAAGGGTTTGAGAAAAAGAGGAGTTTGAGAAAAATGTTCAAAACATGTAAATTTTACAACTTTCCTTTCCTTCATCATCATTTGCCATTTCAATTTTGACCTAATAACACTTAATGCATGGATCCCTCACAATAGGGGATTTGTCTATGGCATTATGTGGAACAAATTCCAAATAAGATATCAAACTTGCCCCTAAAAAATATTAATTTTTTTACTCCTGTTCAGTCTTTTAGCTTTTTTGAATAGGCAGCATTCAGTCTTCCTGAGTTTCATAGATTTCATAGATTTCATAGACATTAGGGCTGGAAGGGACCTCGGAAGATCATCGAGTTCAGCCCCCTGCCCAAAGGGCAGGAAGTCATCTGGGGTCATAGGATCCCAGCAAGATAAGCATCCAGTTTGCTCTTGAAGGTGTTCAATGTAGGCGCTTGAACCACCTCCGGCGGCAGGCTATCCCAGACCTTGGGGGCTCAGACAGTAAAGAAATTCTTCCTTATGTCCAGCCTGAAACGGTCTTGTAGTAGTTTATGATCATTCGACCTAGTCGTCATCCCTTGGGGCGCTCTGGTGAACAAACGTTCCCCCAGATACTGGTGGTCACCCCTGATAAACTTATAGGTGGCCATCAGATCACCCCTAAGCCTGTGCTTTTCCAGGTTAAAAAGCCCCAGGGCTAAAAAGCCCCAGGTCTCTCAGCCTGTCATCATAGGGTCTGTTTCCCTGACCTCTGATCATGCGTGTGGCTCTTCTCTGGACTCTCTCAAGCTTCTCCACATCCTTTTTGAATTGTGGAGCCCAAAACTGGATGCAGTACTCCAGCTGTGGCCTCACTAAGGCCGAGTACAAGGGGAGAATGATGTCCCAGGTTATTATACCTGGGATGATTTAAAATACTAGTCACATCCATAGAAGATAATACATCTAAATAAAATACAATATGCTTAGAGTGCCATCATGTGACTGTGTGGGAATATTACGTCAGAGGTAAATTCTTGTCATATTAATCTGTACCAAAATTGAGGGGATTTACATGCAATAAAAATATGCAGAAATGATCTTAAATCTGATTTTTCACAATAGGTAGCTAAGTTGTGTGTCCTCAGAAACAGGTTTGGCACATTCAGCATATATGCTATTTTGCAGAATATCCAAGCATTTATAAGGGAAATAAAAACAATGCACATTGTATTCCCTCCCCTCTCCCACCCCCCAGGAATAAATGAGATGCCACAGTTTTCCCAGTGTTACCCATTCTAAGTTCTGTAATTGTCATTTTATCACTGGGTACTAAAAACGGGAACAAGCTGACCCTTTCCAATGGTGACCACAGCATTCCTTCTACCAACAGATCAAAGTATACTGAAATTACAGGTTGGATTTGAAGAGGTCTACTATACTACAAGAGTGATGTAGTCATGACAGTCCAGAAATTATGTGAGAGGCAAGGATTTCTTAGGGTGATAGCTTTATTGGACCAGCTGTGTAGCTGAGATAAAGGTAGGCAAGCTTTCAAATGTAAGGCATTCTTCCTCAGGTCTCTACTAGGAATTCTCATCTATTACTATCCTTTTAAACATACAACATACAGCATAATTGGCTTCATTCTAATGGCTTGGGAAAGTAATTCTGTCATTTAATACCTGTCCAGTTTTCTTTTTCTTTTTTTTAAATTTACACTCCCCTCTATCACATTCCTCGAGTACTATGGCCAGTCCCCAACAAGAGATGCCCCTTTTCTGCTATAAAATCTGTTGAAGGATTTGCTGATTTGGTGAAAAATTTGCTATTTTATGTCCTCATCTGAAACCCATTATATCTAACAAGAGCCTTACCACCGACTCTAGTTGGCTTTGAATCATATCCTTATGAACATCTGCACTTTTAGAACTTGGAGAAGTAACACGTGAAACAAGAATATAGCCGTAGAGCTTTAGAACTCTACCTTGTCATACTAGGTGAATTCTCACAGTAATGCCAAATACTTGTGAACTGCTGTTTCTGACAGCATCAGGAAGAATTTTAAGGCTCCAGGATTCTATATTGTAACATGAAATGGGATGCCAGGGCTAACAGGGATATCATGTGCTTCTCTGATACACAGTGGGTGTAAAAATGAATTAGAAAGAAATGCACAGGCTACTTACGAGCAAATCGTGAAAGAGGTCGAGCATTTTTGTCGCCTGTCTCATTTGCAACTGCAAAGAAAGAAAAATAGGATGTTACATCAAAATGTATGCATCATATCGCTTAATACTCATGAAAATACCAATACCTACATGTAAGTCATACAACTAGTAAGAATGTTTATAATTTTTACATACTAGCTAATACTTTTGAAAATTCTGTACGAGTTATTTGACTATTAACCTATCTGTACCAGTTTAGCCTTCCTGTGTTACAGGGACCTAGATGAAATTCTCGCAGATGCATATGCAAACATTATCCTGTGCCTATCTAGCGGCTGACTTAGTTAATTAACCGGTAACTCTTAACCAATGTAGAGTAATACATGTTAAATCAGCATTATAAATTTTACTCACAGGTGTTAAGTATTTTGTTTTCTGAGAGTTAAGTAAACCATCATTTTTCTCCAAGGGCTTTTATTTACAGATGAGCTACAGCTAGGGTGACCACATGTCCCATTTTTGCAAAGACTGTCCTATTTTAAACACCTGTCCTAAGCATTCTGTTGGTTTGGTCAAATAAAGCCTTTTGTCCCATTTTCAGCAAGATGCCTTGGATAGGTGTTTAAACTAGGACTACTTCACTCTACTGTCTGGCACTCCCTATCTCTCCCCTCCCTCTCCCAAGGAAAATGGAAAAAACCCACAAATTTAAATTCACATAGACCAATAGAGACAGAATACGGTCTATATAAGGTCTACCCTATAAAACTTGGCTAAATTTGAACTGCAAAAGTAAGGCTGGGTTTTGTTCTTGTTTCTGGTTTTTTGCTCAAACATATCATCCCAGCCAACCCAAAACTATTGCAAATTGACTTGAATTCACTGAATAGTTTCAAATACAAAAGAAAAAAAATGAAAGTTCAGACTAGATTTGAAAAACAAGCAAAAATGAGATATTACTTTCCCCAACATTTGCTCAATTGCTCAGTGCTTGGGATGCTAACCGTGAATGTGATAGATATGGGTTAAATGCATCCCTTTCCTACAGCGACTGGAACCTAACTCTCCCATCTTTGAATACAGTCCTAACCACCATGCTCATTGCCCTCAACTTTTGTTTTTGCTGGGGCGGGGGCTAAGATAATGGGCATGTGGAAAGTTTTACACATTTCAGGTGACCGCTTTCATCCCAAGGGGGCCTGGGTCCTTGGGCCCCCCATGTACTCAGCGCATCTGACTACACTGTAAAATCTGCCTGTATGTGTCTACTTCTATCTATTTTTTCCCCACCCTCCCTGTAAAGATATCATGCTCCCACAGGAGAGGTTCAGAGAAGCCCCTACAGGAAGTCCTATAGTCTGGTGGTAGAATAGGTAAGTCCCATCAGGCAAAGAAGGAATTGAAAGCTATGTCTGACATCCCAAAGGCCTGAGCCATCAAGTTATTGTTCAAGGAGGGGACAAATATGTCCCTTCCTTACTGGTTTTGTGAATGGTGCGTAATTCTAATCTATAACTTTTATGGCTTTACTTATTTTAAAAATAGAAATGTTTTGGTTTGGGATGAAACATTTTCTGTATCTCACAATGAATTTCTCTTATATTTTGGTTTTGGCAAGACCCCCTATCCCCATAGAAATCCACTGCCATTTAATTCAGACTGAAATACCTCTCATCTTGTCAGTTTGATAGCAAACTTAACTAATTATTTATACAGTGCTACTGCAGGGTCGCATAAAGCCAGTTACTTGAGTAGTATTCAAGGAACATGAACTCTCCAAGCATTCTTACAGAGAATATGTAATCATTCAGGAGCTTTAAATAGTTATTTCCTTCATGCCTTTTCTTTTGAAAACACTGCTGCCATAGATAAGCTACATCATTAGTCATATAACCTTACAAGTAAAAGCATGTGCATATGATGAGGAAAAAATTGAAAAGTGATGAGAAAATAGATTCATAATTTTCCATCAAGACAATACCCAAAACTGATCATTTTAGATTCAAGGCTCTCTGAGAGTGACTGTTTAATTTTTCTAGCAAATCTAAAAAGTATAAATAAGTTTGGTTTTACTTTTAAAATGCCAATCTAGATTCAGTTCAGGTTTCCCCTCAAGTCACGGAATCATACAATTAGAGAGATCTCAAAGATTACATAGTCCAAGCTCAGGCTGCAAAATTTATTAGTTTCATATTGATCAAAATATTTATCTTGTCATGGCAATTAAAACTAAAATAAGCAGTCATTTCAGTGCTCAAAAAGATTACAGGAACAGATATGTAATTCTGCTCAGTGTAGACAGCAGATGGTGCTCTTAAAACATGATGCTTTCTGAAGTTGCTGTGGCATCATTAGTTTACATGCAAGGAACTAGTTTTATTTTATTCATACCAGCTAAGCTTTAGTAGCAATGACTACAAAGGACCCCACCTAGATTTCTCTCTGTTAAGTCAACCTTTAAGGGTATATTCTCAAATACAGTTCTCATCATTCATAGAGGGCTTGAAGTGCTAACAGCTATATGCACCCTATCTGAAATAGGCATTAAAACTACGGCTGGTATCACCAGCAAAGCATCAGTTCCATAGCTTGTATGAACAATAAAGCTGAAAAAAATGGCTGAGTGCACACAAAATAGCTGGAACACTTAACACATAGTAAAAGATGTTTCTGTTTGCTTGATACAAGTTAACTCTGGGAGTCTTAGGTGGTGGAAACTATACCACATACTCCCTTCCTTAACTGAACAGGATCAATGCTTTAACAATAACATTAGTATAACACAGAATTATGAATAATTATAACCAGCCTAATAACTAAACTTATTATTGTTGTTTAATGAGTCTTAGATACCCTGTATTGCTTCTTGGACTCACATAGCTATATCCAGGAACAACAGCACTACTGTTGACAAAAAACAGCAAGACCACTTGTCCACATCCTCAGACTTCAGTGCCACAATTTCCATTGGTTGTTGCCTCACCAAGATTCTCATCTTTTTTGGGCAAAAGAGCAAGTTCCGTGCCTCTTCCATCTCCATTTACCCTAATTATGTGCCCATCCATAGTCACAACTTCATACAACCATGGAACAATTTCTTGCAGTACCCCTATTGTTTACATCCCATCACAGGGAAAGAAACATTTTCATGCAATGGGGCAACTCCTGGGAATCCATATCATATTTTTTTTTATATTATCTGTCTCTTTAGCCATTCTTCATTGACTGACACCAGTTTTTTATTGTCTAGAACATACATGCAAATTCTTCCTCTGTTTTGTTTAGTTCCCTCTTGAGTCCTCCTTTGATAAGATTGGGAGCTTGACACACTTTTAACCCAATAAGCCTGGGCTTTTTCCCCTGGTGCTATTACAAATTGTAATGTTTCCAGTTTGTTATTTACTAATACATACTCCTTTAGCAGTGATAAATGCATTGTTGTAAACCCTGAATTTAATGATAACGTGTCTGGAAACACGGTAGCTTTTCCTTATGGGTCAACCTTAAAGTTAACAAATGTTCCATTTGCTTTCAGTCTGCCCATCTTCTGCTGCTGTACTGTTCATTGCCATAATTCATTCCTCTAAGTTAATAATACAGTTGTCATTTTTTCCCAAGCTGTGTCTGCTCTTTGGCTCTTGCAAACCAATGTGTCTGCTCTTTGGCTCTTCCATATGCCAGGGCTGCCCTTGATTTATGCTTGTCTCCCCATAACCTGCAGCTTCACATGCTGCTTTCACTCATTTCTGACTTTGAGCTCTGCAAGTCTTTCATCAAATGCTGCAGAATTAGCCATTTCCAAAAATAAATCTCCCTTCTAACTGTACTTTTTTCCTAGCAGCCATTGCTTGCAGGTAGAGTGAAGCTCTGTTTCTACTTCATCGTGTTATCTTTCATGTTTCCACAAATTTTCAGTGCTAGTAGGGCCTCTAACTGTTCCATAATTCCATTCAGGGTATTTGCTTAAGTTATTTTTACTCCTGGTACCAAATAGTGTTCAGTTATCCAAGAACTGTGTTTTGTTCCATTTCAAATCAGCAGTGCATAACAACAAGAGCTTCACAAAACTCCATGCAAATTCTATATTGGGAAAGCTTGACCCTTAAAACAGCAGCCAGTTCCCAAAACTTTTCTTACCTTACAGAACAATAAGTTTGTGCAACTCCAAACTAGAGGGACTGTTCACATGCCTCCCATTAATAGGGAGCTAGAACTTAACCACATTTAGGTGTGCCATACCTGTTCTTATAGGTGAGAACTAAACTGGGACAGCTTACCCCTGAATGAAACAGGCTAAATTATCATAGTTTAGCTTTCCCTTACCAGAAGATAATTGTAGGCGCAGGGAAAGTTGCGACAAAGCAGCTGAGGCACAGTAAGTCTCTTCCCTCTGTTAACTGCAAGGACCAGGGTAATTGTGGGTTCTGGAAAACTAGGTCTTAGGTCTCCAACCATGAGCTCCTAATAGACTGGTCAAATTGTTAGAACACTAGTTGCACCTATACTTCATGCCCCTCCCTATCCTGTTAAAAAAAATTTGGGCAAATCATTTAGCTTCTCTGGGCCTCAGTTCCCCATCTGTACAATGAGAAGAATTGTTACAAAACTCTGATGGGGAGGGAAGTAAGGATAAATACCAAAATGCCATTGGCTGCTATGAGATCATGGTAATGAGAGTCACATAATTAGAGAAGATAAATATGTGTTTATGTAGCTTTTATTTATTTCAAATATATATCATGTCCTTATCCACCTAAGGTCAAGTCCAACTCACTCCTTTGTGGGTGCAGAGGTACTTTATACATGCAGAATTGATGCGCAAAAAAAGGGAAGAAAATTAGAAGATTTATGGAGGTTAAGCTAGAGATGCAAACTATCACTGGTTTTTCTATTCATGAATTATCCACAAAGAGATTTAGGACTAATTCTTCATCTACTGTACATCATTGTAACCCTCTTGATTTCCATGCAACTACATCTTCTTACCCAAGCTCAAGATCTGGCTCTTGATTATGTGGTGCTGCTCAACAATGTATTATACTGACATAACTCAGCCTGCAGGTGACTTA